GGCCAGAAGAACAGTATAAAGAAAGAAAATAGAGACTGTGATGGCCATTTCTAGCGCATTAGCCCTCATCAGCCAGTCATACCCAACCCCGAGTGGGGCATCACCCGTGGCTTGAAATCGCGACCTTTTTAATCAGAAGTCCAACGCGAGTTACGAGATCGCTGTCTTGCCGGTTTAGATCGGGGAGTATTGCCACTCGTCGATGAACGTTTGACGATCGCTAGCGGAGCTCAATCGCCCCGTTCTGCCCTGAGGCCAACACTAGAACCCCGCCAGTATTATAGTAGATGACCAAATTCATGCAGTGTCGTGATGGAAATAAGACTGCACAATTAAGCCTTCATTTTGTCTTATATTTTTTTTATTTGTTGAGTGGAGTTAAGGTGAAATCAGAGATTGTAGGATCTTCAAAGAACTTCCAATTTTATTTAATATAGCAGAACAATGTTTATTGTTTTTGTGTTATGTGCCATAAAAGAACGTATAGCGAAAAGCATTCTAACATAAATAGAAAAGTGAATTCTTTCATTTGCAGGTAAATTTGTTTCACTAATTTTCAGGAAGGTCGGCAAGAACTGTCAAAGGTCCTAATTTTTACCGTGAGTTAACCGATGAAATCATAAGAGATTCGTCATTGAAATAGCTAATGACAGCGCCTTATAAAGTGGTAAATTTTTTAAGACAACTTATTAATTCAATTTAGGTATATTAATAGCTGAATATGTTTATGGATGTGCCTTTTTCTCAGCAGTGAGCTCTCATATAAGGATGAACCCCCAAATAGACCTACACGACCATCTGTACCAGGAAGTAAGTTTTAATAAATTAACTTTTTGAAGGTTTTCATAAACACAGAACAGAATCGAAATTTCTGGTAATGATTTGAAAACAGTGAAAATGATATGGACCGGCATTTGAGAACCCATTGGCACCTCATTGAATACTTCATTGGCAGGGCTGTCTTTAGAGGCACTTTATGCCTTGTTCTTATAACAATAACCTACTTTTAAATTTGCAGTAACCCGACTTTCCCTTTTTTCGCTAAATTTCGCCAATATGAGGTTAAATTTCCCTCAGTTGACATCAGTGCCCTGAGCAACAGGAGTTTATTTTGATGGGTTTGATTCAATTTGGTACATTGAAACACGTATAAGTTTCTTTAAATTAATGTTTTTTGATCACTTTCACCACAATTAAATATTCATTTACCCTAACTAACCAAGAATTAAATGTTTGACTACACAATAAGTTAGAGAGTTTGGCGGGGGAATAGATATTTAAGGGGCCCTATAGGACAATTTTGCCATCTGTTCTTTTTGAACATGGAAAATTTCAGTGTAACCAAAAAGCGTAAGACCGGAACTGAGAAAATGAGGTCAACTAACTCACTGAATGCTGAAGTGTTTCGCATGCGAACCTTCCGCACTACCTCATCAGCCAGAACGGAGGTGGGGCCCAGATGCACGGTGGTTTCCCAGGCGCACAGCCTACTGTACGTCATGCCCTCCACATCCACCAGGCTCTTGAAGGGATTGGATGGGCAGAGAGCGGTCGTCGAGGGATGACCCTCGACAAAATTGGATCGCGATTGGTTGGCACACTG